GTTATCTTCTTTAATGGACAACAGAAGAATGGAAATCATACATGCTTGGAATGACATGAGGATGAGTAAATCCTCATCCTGTAAAGAGGTGACAGAATTTTCATTTTTGGATGAACTGTAAACTGTAAGTAACTGTAAGAGCTGCTCCATATAAACATGGGGTCATTCCCTGTGGTTGCTGAGGTTTGGGCTGATGGCTTTTACCTGCTCAATTTGTTGAGGACAGTCCACAACCTTTCTAGGTTTCTGTCATGTCTTCGAGATCAGTGGCGGAGCCAGGATGTTTTCATAGGGTTGGCCAGGGAGGGGCCAGCAACCAGTCTGGGGTGACACAGAAATCTTCATTATTTCAATATAAAAATGTGTTTGACTATAATGTACTGGACTGTTTTAGTGCCTAAAACACAACTGAGTACAATTAATGTCTACTTAACTGTAACTGAGATATTTGTGAATTCGATCAATACTGAATGAATATGACAATTTTTGTATTATTCCTCACCTCCAGGTATTTTAATAAAGGGGCTCACTATAGCTTTATTGCTCATTCAGCTTCTCAAAACTCCCAAATGCTTGCTCTCCAACATTGCATACTCATGGATGAGACATGCAGATAGTGACAAAAATGTGAAAAGGGCCGGAAGTCAACAGTAGACATAAATGCCAGAATATAAAAGGAGTTATTTTATGCATTTAAATGGTTTCATTTTCGCATATTTTCTAGTATAAGTGCACTGTGCTCACATTTATTTGTGCATTAAATTACAAATAAAAAATACATATCAGCTTGTGCCTTATATTGTGATCTCGAATTGCAGAATATATTTTAGTACATGCATTTGAGAGACATTCTTGTGTGCTGCGTATACATACATGCACAGTTTGCAGCTTTAATCGCCTTTTTGGTCATTTCATAAATTAGCTGACGACAGATCTTGGTATGTATGCTCATGGTTTCTTGTGGGGGTTATTTATGATGAAGTGATATTGAGCGTGCGCCACATATTTGCGTAGCCTACTGTTGAAGAGTGTGCCCCGTGAGCACAATAAAACGGCTGGTGGAACAGAAGAGTGTGTTTTACTGACATATAGTCTAACAACATCTCATCAGACCACAGTTCCCAGTTCTACTGAAGCTCATTTGGCTGCTGTAGCTTTTCCGCTCTCGTTTGACTCGTGCCTGACGCTGAGGTGAAGCTGAAGTGCGCGTCTGAAAATTCTCCTGTTTGATGTGGCCATAAAGAGATACGGCGGTTCTGCATCTTAATTAAATGCATTTCTTGTCAAGAAAAAAGGAACAAAAACTGCAGTTTTGGGCTCCGCCCGTTTGAGATGTTTGGCTATCACTGTGTATCTTCTTTATCTGATCAGCCACCTTTGGACAGAGATGTTCTAATTAGTCTTTGACTGCTATTTTTTCAACGCCGGTAAAGTTAGTTTGACCTTTGACATTCATTAGACATTCGGGTTTTTTGCCAATTAAACTCTTTGCAGCTTTTATGTTTTGAGCCCAAACTAACTCAGATAGACATAAATATATGCCCTTTATGTTGCACAAGGCTTAATTTCTAGGAATTAAAAAAAAAAAAATTACCTTTTAAATTAATTAAACAATTTAACTACGTGACATTATAATATAAAACCAATACTAAAATGTTCGGGAAAACATACCTGTTATCGCACAAAGCTCCGTTTTTGGAATTACAATTTTATGTTTTTTTATAATAATTTTACAACTTTTAATGTATGCAATAATATAAATCCATTAAACGACAACACCATTTGATCTAAAGTTATCAAACAAACTGTAAAATATTCAGAATATTATTCCCTATAATTCACAAGTCTTGGTTTTCCAGATTATGCCTTTATTGTTTTTATATATAGTACTGAATCCATATTTGTCATGTTTTATATATATATTTTTATAGTTGTTTTGATACCTTTATCTCAAATGGTGTGAGAGTTTAATTAATTTAAGTGGGTACAGCATATAAAACATATGAAAAATATGGTTTTAGTGCTATATATAAAAACAGTAAAGGCATAATCTGAAAAAACAAGCGTTGTGCATTAAATTGAATAATATTTATATATTTTTATAGTTGTTTTGATACCTTTATCTCAAATGGTGTGAGAGTTTAATTAATTTAAGTGGGTACAGCATATAAAACATATGAAAAATATGGTTTCAGTGCTATATATAAAAACAGTAAAGGCATAATC